GATCGACGCTTGCCCTGATTTAAACTTGAAGGTTACCTCGAATTGACATTGTCATGAAAATATCAGTCGATGATAAAAGCCCGGAATAGACAGTTGTCTTCACAGGTCATGTCTGATATCTTTTACACAATATTTTTTTGACTCAAGAGTGGATACTTAACTTAAGATGACATCATGATTTTCACTCTGTTTCCCAATCACGAACCTACCTTTATCATTAATGGTAAATTTGTCTGTTATCCATCCACGGTTTCTACGCATTAACTACGATAAACGAAGCCGAAAACTGGATGGGCATACCGTCTATAAATGACTAGAAATGCTCTAAAACACATCTCATGGTCATATATTGTATCCAAAGTGCATAGCACTTAAAATTTTTTCGAGACCATCCAAAGTTGCTATAGAAACTATCTCAAATCATAAAAGATACAATCCTCTCCTGTCTCACTTCTTAGAATAGTTTATGCCCTGAATAATGTTTTACGAATTATGTTTCGGGAGCCCTTGTCGTAAGAAGTTATAGCATCTACCGGTTGAAAAGGAACTCACCTCTATGAAGATAGAATATGTAATTTTTGACACTTAAAATACACCCTACATTGCCACAGTTGAAGCAGCACAATCTAATTACAAGTATTATAAAACTAAGAAGTGAATCGGTGAATACTTCAACTGGTAATACATTAAACCTCTTGTTCTTCTTGCAGAAAGCGATGAAACGGCTGAATTAAAAAAAAAGTGGAAGTGATACAAAATAATTAGTATTGAAAATGCTGATTTTTTTTGTGCTTTTCAGAAGAGCTGAATAGTGTTCTCGTGGTGGCACTCTGAATAAGTAAATCGTGCAATAATTATTTGTCGACTTTGTTACCCTGGAAATGTGCTACACTTCAGAATAATTCCTTACTCGACAAACTTGGTATTGTTCATCCTGACACACTCCTTTGTTTTTCTAATCGTGCCATATAAACAAATGGAAAATCGCTCAGAAGCGGCCGTGTCATTTAACTCTGTGTCTGCTGTTTGGCATGTCATTTTATTATGTCCGTGCGCTTATCTTGCCATTCGTTTTTCCGCGGAGGGTCAAATAAACATACCGGGATTTACCTAGTAGAAATTAGGTGCCAAATTATCATCTACAAACTGGTATATGTGGTAGAAAACCAATCTATAACAAATGGCACGTATCGCACTATCACGTGTGGAGGAACCGTGAACCGTGTTAAGGGTTCTCTTTCAAGTTTCTCTGGCGTTTGTGCTGCCTATTAATATAATTTCTAAGTTGGTTTTACGATTTCCCCACGATAAAGATTCTCCTCTTGGAGCTCAGAATAAAAATTAGATGAGATAAATAATGCTCAAACTTCGAAAAAGTAGGTACGAAGGTCTTTCCTGAAAGCGCCAGTACGCAATCTTCGATATAAATGAGTGACTGAAAACTATTAGATGAGAGAAGCATAATTGTTACCATTTCAACAAGAAGAAAGACAAGATGAGGCAACCCTAGGCTTAAATATTCATCTTTAGCGATACACAAAAACACGTGCGAATAACCTGATGTCATCTCTTGCACTTCTCGATTCGATATCTTTCAGATATGTCTTTTATTAAACAGATAACCTCAGTTTCTCTGCAATAATCTCTAGTTTGAACCTTCCTCAGCTCAAAATATCAACATCATCAGGTCTATTTCAACGACTTATGTTTCTTTATCAAATCTTCTAATACAATTCCCAGAAAATCACAATTGCCCTTTATTTCTCCCATGTAAAATTTTGTTCGTAGATAAAAAATCTACTGGTCAAAAATGTTATGGCAGCGGTGGGATTCGAACCCACGCCTCCGAAGAGACTGGTGCCTAAAACCAGCGCCTTAGACCACTCGGCCACGCTACCTTCAACATACCTTCAGCACGTTCTTGGCATGTCTGTCACATTCACCGACACTGATCATGAGGTGAATAGTTGTTTGGGTGAAGCACATCAAGAAACCTAAAAAATTAGTTTATTTCTGCAAATACACCCAAAAATTGGTCGGGCATTAAACTTTTGACGTGTATTTAGTACTTGCCAATCACTTCAGAACTAGCCAATCAGCACGCACCAACAGCACTTTTAACCTGCATGGTATATACTTATAAGCTTTATAATGTTGGAATTTTCTTTTCTTCAATCGCTCTTAGAAAAGGCAATTTGCTGAATAACTTGCGATAAAACAAAACTAAATGATTAAACAAAAATATAAGGAGACTAGCATCATATTCCACCATCTTGAAAATGTGAAGGTGAACCTTTATACATGTAAATTTCCCTACTTTCTACCGAGGAGGAAGCCTTCAGCCTCATTACTTAAACTTGATTGGACTTCCTTTGCACTGAGAAAAAAATCCTGGCAGCGGTGGGATTCGAACCCACGCCTCCGTGGAGACTGGTGCCTTAAACCAGCGCCTTAGACCGCTCGGCCACGCTACCCTTAGATTTCGAATTGATATTTCCTAGTGAATAATGCTAACGAAATCGCTATTATAATTCATTGAATATTACTACTGGCAGGCGATTGGTCTAAATGCGTTACGTGACTGAATATTTCCCGACTAAAACTTGGGAATATCCCATGAGACATTCTAGGTGATATTCCCTAATTTTTAAACCTTAAGTCCAATACGACAAGTCTTCGTTTAAATTTTAATTCAAGACGAGAGAGCGTTTGGTGGTTGTTACTGGAGACGGGACTCGTTTGTTCGTTCATTAGGTCGTATTAGAGAACACTGAAGAGTGAACATCCCACGCAGCAAACGGTAAGCTGTTCGTTAACATTTTTGACGTCGCGCTGCAAAAAATTTGAAGGATAATAAACACAATAGCCTCCATTAGGACATTATCTGTTCCTCGAAGCTAACAGTTTGCATCTTGGAACAGATAATGTCCGTGCACTAATATCGGGGCATGTTTTCGCGCTAAATAGAGGTCATTGTTTGTATAGGTAAACTGCGCACACTTTAGGCAGGGAAGCATTTACGATTTCATGATATGGGAAAATAACTCATGTTCTGTTTGGCAGTGCAATCTAGGACCCTCCCAGTCAACTGAGAACTTTTGGAACGATTCCCTTAGTCGGTGTCACACCGTGCCGCACCATCCTATAACCTTTGAAATGCACACCGCCTGCTTCCGATTGAAGACAAATAGTGGCACGCTGAGATCTTATAACAATTAAGTTTAGATGAAGAAGATAAGTCGCACGTCACTTAAGCAACGGAAAAAGATCACAGAGCGTTGAAAACGAGCGCTGCTTAGTGGTGTAGATGAAACCTTAAATTTCAAAGAGTTTAAACTATTTTCTTGGGATTTGTGAAGCTTCGAATTTAGTCGGTCACACTTCTTTAATTCCTGGGACGGATCCAGGGGTGGTTCGGATGGTTCGGTCTAACCCCCTAAACTGAAAGAAAAAACATTCTAACTCGTGCGGTTTCTGAGGAAAAAACATAAGTGAATCGAAAAAACATCATCATCAGGTGGAGCTTGCTCGGTATTCCATGACACCCTCCTTCCACCTCTCCATTGCAATTAGTAGTTCTTCAAGTCTGCATCCTGTGTCATCCATCAATTGGTCAATATAGGTCTTTTTTGGGCGTTCTCTCGGCTGATGTCCATGTGTTGGCTTCCAAAGTAATACATCCCCTGCTAGTTCTTCTTTACTGCGCCAACAATGCCCTGCGAATCTCATCCTTTGTTGCTGTAGCGATTTACTGATTGGCGGAATGTGGCCGTAGAGCTCTTCGTTTGCGGGGTGGTCCTTCCACGATCTGTTTAAGGCAAAGCGTAGCATTCTAGCGTATGCTCCGTCGATTTTCTTTACCAGATGTGTTGTTAAGGTTCAGGAGACTGAACCATATAAAAGGACGGTCTCCACTGCTGCTCGAAAGAAGTTTCTTTTCAGGTTGTCTGGAAGGTTTGATTTCCATATCTTGTCCAGTTGATGTAGAGGATCGCACGCCTTTCCTAGTCTGATGTTAACATCATGTTCGGTAGAGGTGATATAGCTACCCAGGTATTTAAAATTGCTAGTCTAAAATTCATTTTGTATAAGCGGTTCCCTTTTTATTTGTCTACTTAGTAAAATAACAGATTCGTTATTCCCTCTACTAGTGCCCAAAGTGGTCATTTTCGGAAATTACTTAAATAGGATTCCACTCTTCGTTTGTAATTGAGCTTATCAACGTGCAATAATCTGTGATTAGTTAATAATTATACATCTATAATTAGTTATAAAGTCGAGATACACAAGCCTTATTGCGTAAATTACTGTACAACACCATTTGTACAAGTTATTTATACACAGAACAAAACTACATTTGTACGAGTAATTATACGTAGATAATGTTGCGTAAGATTTATTGTATAAGTGAGAGACTTGTTGCAATAAATCTTTCTTGAAACTGAAAGAGTTACAGTATTCAAGTGTACTATCAAGTTAAGAATTGCCAGCCGCGCTCAATTGAGAATTACTTTTCCCAAAGGAGTCAGTGTTCGATTTGAAGTCGTTCGAGTTATGTCCAAAAGGGGGAAGCAACAGGAAATTTGTCACACGTCTTTAGGAAGGTAAGCATGCTAGTCGTGAATTTAGTCTGGAGATCAGTTCAGTGCTGGGAACGGAACCAGGCGCTCTAAGAACGGCGTCAAGACAGCAACGTGGGGTTAAATGCACCCCAAGACACACCTGAGGAATATTACCGCCGCAATCTGTTCATTCCATTCCCAGACCATATCACATAAGAAATGTCTTCAAGGTAATCTATATGAATTATTATACGCTCGACTGTTTAATTACTTAACCTTAAATATAATGAATGATTGAACAAACAAGCTTATTCATCACAGGGATTTTTTTCCAGATTTGGGTCCACTCGAAGGACTGCCGTGCAATTGCTTGGTCTTGTGCTAAGCACTATTGTAGCGGGCACAAATGTAGACATAGCTGAAGTCTCCTAGGTGTATATGTCAGATTTCCCAAGCCCACAACCTCTCGACATTGAATACGGATCTTTGGATGAGAATTGGCAATCCGAGACAGGCAAACGAGACGCGCTTCAACCTGCCTTCAGGTTCGAAGTAACTCAAATTGTTTTTGTTCAAATTTCCCTCAGGCTAACAAATGACGGCTCTATTGATTGCACTTTCTGTCTATCTACAGGCTTGTGATCCCGACATCTTTCCGAACATCCACCTGTTGTTGCGAATTGCATGTACAATTCCAGTAACATCAGCTGATAACGAACGCCCAAACAGCACTTTAAAACTAGTCAAGGGCTACCTCAGCCACGATGACAACCAAGAGACTCTTTGGCCCAGCTTTAAGGAGTATTCATTAAGAAAAGCCAGTCAATTACGATGCTATAGTTCAGAAATTTGCCGAAGAACTACCTCGTAGAATGTTACTCGTTGATCCCATTTTTGAGGAATCTTAAGCGTGACCTTTTAAAACACATTAAGTAGCGAAGACAAATGCATTACAGTGATTTTAGTTTAATTTTCTAGGAGTCGGTTGATCTCGATTATTGTGAAGACTTAAACGTAGTCCTTGTTTTGTTTTTAAAAAGAGATGGTTTGTTAAGGTATTAAACCGTCCGCCACCATCCCTCAAAACGCTGGAAATCGCATTTCCGAGGACTTAACTTTCAAAATTTCCCAGGGAAGCATGTCCCCGGACCCCCCCAGATAGGTCCGCCTTCGGTGGCCCATTTGTTCGAACCCCCCTTTTAAAAATCCTAGATCCGCCCCAGAATTCAACATCAAAATATTTATTATTTGCAGTTAAACGTGATCATTAAAGAGACACCCGAAAGCATGATGGGAAGTTATAAGTGTTGATTAATTTACCCGCGATCATTCGCATCCAGTAGGCAAGCTTAAGACTTCGAAATCAACGATGCTCTCCCCAACAGCTGGTACTTCATTTCGTGGTTGTCGTCTCTCCTTGTTCGATCTTCTTAAATATCTGCTTTCCCATTTGGGTGGTAAGATTATTTTGTTATTATTTATTCCTACTTTTATTCCACTTAGATTTAGTTCTCGGTGCCATGTTTCTTATAGTTTAAGTATTGGGTATTAACAAGAATTCTTAGTTTTTTGAAAGGGAATTTTTCGTTCTCCTTCTCTGGCCTCTTTTCGTTTATACTCGTTTCGGCTATATTGTTTAACACTGCCCAAACATCAATACACCAACATCTGGGTTCCTTCAAAAACAAATTTTCGTCGTAGAGTCGATGCACTTTCCGACTCTTGCATACTGTAAAATCTCTCCATGATTATATTTTTGCAAAAAAGAACGAGAACGTTCTGTCAGGGAACCTGTTCTAAAGTGGTACGTGCTATAGTCCGACATCATGAGGATGTCAGATTCAAATAAATTATGTACGCTGAAGCTCTGAATCCTTCTTTTCCACTCTACTGCAAATACAGAACTACCAGCATGTCACTTAAGGTGACGTGGAAACAAACATTTCAATTTATTTTGGGAACGGTAAATGAAATTGCAGGAAAACTTTAGACACAAAGACGTCTGTCTCAGTGGGAGCAAATATTTTTTTATTTCTAATACGTAGGCTACCTAGCAATGATCCTATCAAAAATATTACGAAACGTCTTCAGCAGTTGAAGTGATAGCTCAACGATGCTTTTATTTTTATACATCTTCTGTGGTACATAGAGGCTCGATTCTGGTGGCTGTGCCGCTGAAGTGTAATCAGAGGAAAAAATTACTTTCGATATCACCAGCACAAAAATGCTCTTTATTTAAAAAAATATGAAAAAGATTTGCCGAAAGTCAAAAAAATATGCTTCTATGTTAGCGTGACCAAAAACGGAAAAAAAATATTTGTGCTCTATTTATTCAAGACACCCTGTATTTTATCGAAGTATAATAAAACATTTATGATTACGCAGCAAAGCGCGTAGTCCTCTGGGCCATATTTCTTCCATTTTAAGTATTGGGAATTAACAATACGCGTTCTTAGTTTTTTGAAGGGGAATTTTCGTTTAACGTGTCTATCGTAGCAATTTGTCCTTTCGCATCTGTTTTTTCGTTCTCCTTCTTTAGCCTCTTTTCGTTTATACTCGTTTCGGCTATATTGTTTAACACTGCCCAAGCATCAAAATCCAGCATCTGGGTTCCTTGAAGAATAAATTTTTAGTCTTAAAGTCGATGCACTTTCCGACTCTTGCATACAGTAAAATCTCTCTATGATTATATTTTTGCCAAAAAAAGACGAGAATGTTTTGTGGAACTTTTCGTAAAGTGATACCTGCTACAGTCTGACATTTCGAAGGTGTCAGACTTAATAATTTATAATAATAAATTGTGTTCACTGAAGCTTTGGATCCTTCTTTTCCACTCTATTGCAAATACAGAACTACCAGCATGTCACCTCGGGCGACATGAAAACAAAAATTTAAAGTTGTATCATGACAGGTAAATGAAATTGCAGAGAAACTCATTAGTCTAGATTTGAATAATGGATAACGATCCTACTAAAAACATTATGAAACCTCTTCAGCAGTTAATATGACTGCTCAACGCTGCTCTTATTTTATATATCTTCAGTGGTACAGAGAGGCATATATTGAAAGATTTTTTTTTGTTCGAGAGTTTTGCGGCTTTCCGAACTGCCTAGATGTTGGGAAAAGCCGCAAACTGCCATATGCTGCTATCCATCATTCTTGGTTTGTTTGTTTGTTTGTTTTTTTTTTCTTCTTTGAACGCTAGGCTGTATATGCTCGCTTTATCCGCAATTTCACTTTTAATTGTTCCCGTTTGGAGTAATGGCCACTGTCGTATGGACTTGGTGAATCAGTTTATAATTTGGTCTTAGGAAAATAGTATGATTTGTAATCCGTCGAAATGTAAAGAAATTATTTTTCGCAAGAAAGGTTATATTCAGGATATTGCGCAAGTTAATAACATTCCGCAATGCACGAAGCCGCCCATTTTAGGTGTTACGTTACAGGAGAATTGTAAAATATAGCGAACAAGTACGTGCAAAGTTGATTAAGGCAAATAAGTGTTTGTTTGTACTAAGATCTTTACGGAAGGAAGGTTTCAGTCAAGGTGAAGTAGACCACCTAATTAGCGCCTTAGTTTTACCAAACTTCACTTATGGTCTGCCTGTTTATGGCGCTATAGACTCAGATCTCACGGTCATACAAAACTTCATGGACAGATGCTTTAAAAGGATATACACATCTAAGAGAATAGACATTCGAGAACTTTTAGAAAAGGCAGATAAGAAGATTTTCAAGGCACGTTTAGTGGATCCCGATTGCGCGCTAAGTCACATCATTCGGAAGAAGAAAGAAACAAAGTACCAACTCAGAAACAGAAGTGCTCGTCGCCCAGATATAAAGACTGACAGATTTAAGAATTTTTTTGTAAATAGGCTTATGTGGGATATTGATCAAATGAAGCCTTTAAGTGCTACTGTGGTTCTTTCTTTATTAACTCCGAGCTTTCGCCGTTCTACGGCATCATCAGGGAGGACGATAAAATATTTGCGCTATGGTTTTAAACGTTGGAGGTGCCACTGTAAATTAGCATAGTGTAAAACTAGCCAGTAGGACGCATGAAAACTAATGGCGTGATAAAATGTTCTAAAATATGTGTTAAAACCGTTAATTAAAATAGCCCATTAAAATAAATCATTAAAATAGAAGATCGTAAAGTTCAGTGCATTCCTCACGGGAGTTCAGTCCCGGCTTGTGCTTTCTGATGTAATACGCTTCGTACAATCGCAGATTGACGGGGTCATTTGCACGCGTGATTACTTTGACTTCAATGTTATGGCTGTTGTTGCGATGGTGTGTTGTGAGATGTTTTTTTACCGACGAGTTGTCGTTGGTCAAGTGTTCTTTTGTTCGATCATGTAGGAATCGTGTCGTGCTTCCGATGTAATATTCGCCACAAGCTTTGCACGTGAGCTGATAAACGGTGTTTCTCTGTAGGCATAAATTGGTGTCTGCGATGGGACATTTTGGTCTGTTGCATTTCCTTTCTGTTGTGTTGTGTGAAAGGGCTTGTCTCAGAGTGTAGGACTTTAAATATATATATATATATAAAAATGTAGGTCTTTAAATATAATTTTTGATCTTTTTATTATTTCATATAGTATGTTTTATGTATATATATACAGTATGTCTTATGTATTTTCAGACTTCTAACTGCTGATGTAACTTTTTATCTTAGGAGGAATAAAGATTGATTGATTGATTGATTGATTGATTGATTGATTGATTAACAACAAAAAAGTTAGAGAGAGGTTCGGGAAATGGTCGGACATTGTACAAATTGGCAGATAGCGTGACAGTTTTAGCTTAGCTCCGTCTTCTGTACTCCGATAAAACACGCTCTTTCAATCAATGACACGCGCGCGTTATATCCGAACTTTATAATAATGTGATGTGGTCTAACAATGAAAATATCATTAAAGAAATGCCCGTTGGCACGACAGGAAGTTATACGTGTTGATTAATTTACCTAAGATCATTCGCATCCAGAAGGCAAGCTAAACAACGCTAGTCCTAACAGCCGGTACTTCATCTCGTGGTTGCCGTCTCTTGTTCGATCTTTCTAAATATCTGCTTTTCCATTTGGGTAATAAGATTATTTCGTTATTATTTATTCTTACTTTTATTCCACTTACTTTTTAGATTAGCTCTCGGTGCCATGTTTCTTATATTTAAGAATTGGGGATCAGAATTCTTCTTAGTATTTTGAAGGGGAATTTTTCGTTTAATGAGTTTATCATAGCAATTTGTCCTTTCGCATCTGATTTTTCGTTCTCCTTCTCCAGACTCTTTTCGTTTGTACTCGTTTCGGCTATATTGCTTAACATTTCACTTTCATTGTCATAAACGTTGAAATTGGTCTAGTGGAAAAAAAAGCCCAAGTAGAAACATATCTTTAAAAAGTTGTCTCTAGTTTCTCAAAGGAATATTATAGTCATTAGTATTTCATACCGCAGGGGGGTAAATAGCGCTTTGCACGCGTGCTGATTGACTAGTTTGGAAGAGATTAGCGAGCATTTTTATCTCCGAGCAGTTGTCAAAGAGACAGAATCGCGCGTCAAGAGTCCAATTTCCGACCATTTTTCGGTGTATTAACCGGAATTAATAGATATTTTGCTTTCAATGTGTTATACACAAAAACGATCATTTACCTCTGTGTCGGTGAAAGTCGAGGATACTTACCGAGCCACTACGCAGCTCAATAAATATCCACTCCTATTCACCTCTTTATTTGATATTGGTAATGTAAGCGCCGATCAAGATGGCAGCCCTTTATGTTCGTACTTGCCGCTTTATTTCGCTTCTGAACTTTTTTTATATCTTACTATTCTTACAATGGTATGGCTACCTAAAGGCCTCTGCCATCCAATATTGACCAAGTTCAACGCAAAGACATCTTTTATCAAGAATAACCAAGAACTAAAGTTTCCGAAGCGGCCTATTTCAGTTTGGTACAAACATGGTCCGACCTGTTTGGTTTTACCAAAAGATTTAACTGTCCACATGGATGTTGAGCTAAATCCTGGTCCTTTGAAGAAGAAACCAATTTATTTGCTAACCTGCCTACCTACGGTTTCTGGCCTGGTCTCGTATCCAGGTAATAAACTGTTGTCTACGAATAGTTCTGACACCCGCCAGGTTGGAATTTGTGGTTCCTACTATTCAGACGTCTTTCATCGATTTTCTTACTGGCCTTGTTCTTCGCCATCATCATCGACCTACAGGAGATGCCGCGCTGGCCGTCGAGTCAGAGAAAGGAAAGCTAGAAATATTCACAGAATTGAATCCCTGGTTTCTTATCCACGCGCCAGCCGAGGAAGCAATAATTTGCATAAAGGATCCATTTCACATAACCTTTGCGTCATCACACTTGTGAACACAAACAATAACGTATCCTCTAATGTTACTTCGACGAACTCCTCATTTCATGCAAATTCGCTCGTTAATCCGCGTTCAATTCTAAACTTTGCGGACTTCAATTCAAGATCTGTTAGGAATAAGATCGAGAGCATCATTGACCACGTCGTTGAAAATGACAACGGCCTCTACACCGTTACCGAGACCTGGTTGAATGACGCTGACTTCGTCAGTATTGCTCAGTTATCTGTGGCTGGCTATTCCTTCAAGAATTTTCCTAGAAAATCGCGGTACCGGTATTCTGTTTCGAGACTCTCTCAAAGTCTCATTAGTGGATGGGAAGAAATACAATCCTTTGAATTTTCGGAGTGGACTGTTAAAATGCACGATCGCTCTATGAGATATGTGATAGTGTGTCGACCTCCATATTCTTCGTTACACCCCGTTTCTACCTCTGTCTTTTCCGATGAACTCTCTCAGTTTTTAGAGAATGTTTACTGGAAACGTTCAGTCTTTCGCAACACGTTTCGGGCCCGACCCATTTATCGGGTCATACCTTAGATTTAATTATTACTCGTTCCTTAGATAATATTGTTCTTGCTTCCCCTAAAACTACTTTTCCCATCTCCGATCATTTTATTATTCAGTGTCCTATTGGTTTCTCACGACCAGCTTTGTCATGCAAAAAAATGACTTTTCGTAAACTCAAAAGTATTGATATTGCTGCGTTCTCAGCTGATATTGCCTCTTCTATGCTTTGTGCAGGCGTACCCTGGGACAACATTGATGCACTCTCCAAACAACAAGTTTAACAAGACCCTTATTGACATACTGGATAAGTTTAAAACAAGGACTATGATTAATCGTCCAAAGGTCTCATGGTTTAATGATGACATTAAACAACTCAAGCGTCAACGTCGTCGCCTCGAAAAGAGAGCAGTGAAAACTGACCTCCCCGGTGACTGGAATAATTACCATAAAGTTCGTAATCAGAACTCTGCATTTCTTAAATCTGCACGTGTGAATTATTATTCAAACCTAATTGATCAGTGTGCAGGTGACTCTTGCAAGTTATTTCGTAAGGTTAATTCTTTGTGTAGGGAACCACTTGAGACGACTCTCCCAGAGCACATTGACCCCACAAAGCTAGCAAACGAATTTGGCACCTTCTTCCTCAAAAAAATTGAAATCATAAAGGAAAATCTTGACAAGTTTCTATTTTAAGAACCTCGACTCATTCCTGTTGCTCCTAAGGAGAATCTGGAGAGTTTTACCGCGCTATCCATCGAAGAAGTGTCTAAGATTGTTCAAGAATCCTCCAATGCCTCTTGTCGGCTGGATCCTGTTCCTACATGGCTACTGAAGTCCTGTCTTGATGTATTAGCGCTCCCTATCACTGAGATGGTAAATCTCTCTCTTCTCCGTGGTCACGCTCCAGAAAATTGGAGAACCGTCGTTGTCTTTCCTCTACTGAAAAAACCTGGACTTGATTTGGTCTGTAAAAATTTCCGTCCAGTCAGTAATCTTCCATTCATTTGCCCCTCCCTAAATTCCAGTCCAGCTTCCGTAAGTATCACTCGACAGAAACTGCTTTATTAAAGGTTCAAAACGACATCTTAATGAGTATGGATAATAAAGCAGTGACACTTCTCGTACTTTTGTACCTTAGTGCTGCTTTTGACACCATTGAACATTCGGAGTCGTCGGGACTGCTTTAAATGGGTTCGACTCATTTCTGTCCGGTCGCAAACAACTTATACTTGTTGGTGATAAGACTTCTGATGACTTTAATCTGAACTGTGGAATCCCCCAGGGTAGTTGTATGGGGCCTATTTTATTCACTCTCTAAATTCCTTACTGTTCAATCGACTAGGACTGGTCCACGCTTTTATATCCTCACACCTTGATTACTCTAACGCACTTCTCTTTGGTCTACCTAAATATCAACTCGATCGCTTACAGAAAGTTTAGAATGTTGCGGCTAGAATGATTTTTCAGATTTCAAAATTTGATAATATCACACCTGCGCTTATCGACCTACATTAGCTCCCTGTAACGTTCAGAGTTCAGTTTCAATTGATCCTCTTTGTTTAGAAGTCATTACACAACCAAAGTCCTCCCTACATTAAAGATCTTTTGTCCCTAAAACCAGCTACTAATTATAATTATGCTCCTCGCTTGTCTACTCAATCTCTTCTGTTCGTTCCAAAAGCCAATGCATGCTGCACCTGTTTTATGGAACTCGTTGCCATTAACTATAAGAACGAATAGTGGCCTCGCCATTTTTAAAAAGCAACTAAAAACATATCTATTTAGGAAAGCTTTCAGTTTGTTTCAGTAGTTCTAATGTTTATTGCCTTGAATATTTTAATTTTAATTAGTATAGAACTTTAACTTATGTAGAGCGCTTCTGAATATTGTCTTTAGTTTTAGCGCTATATAAATCCCTTATCATTATCATTATCATTACCTCTACGACGGTAAATAACTGTCAATTATCGTGATGTCGATAACTGTAATTTTTTACAGGAATGAGGACTGGCCTCCTTATTATAATCTGTTGGTTTCCTACAACATCAGCGAATCGTTGTGACGCATCTTATTCCATACAAGATCGAGTCCTGAAGAACCACACAATTGCGATCAGACCAGCTGAGAGGATAGAAGAATGTGCGTTACTGTGCGTGGATTATCCCGACTGCCACAGCATTAATTTCTATCAGAAGCACAAAATATGCGATCTCAATGACAAGACACATACTTCCCATCCGAAGGATATGATTTCATTTGCACTTTCAAACTACATGGAGAATATCCTCAGACCATACTTGTGCAACCGAGACTCGGAATGTGGCTCCGGGTTACATTGCTCCCCATTAGAGAAGAAATGTGGTAAGTCTCGCTGCTGTTGTTTTCCTAGACAGAGAATCTTAGCATTAAGTCATCAGGCGTAATTTTAAACCAGTTACAAAGTTATGTAATATCCTTCTCCGTATTTGGCGAGTCCTAAGACAGATGAGAAAGTCATATATCGGCTTTGATTTAAGCGAGGTCTGTTAACTTTGACATGAAAGTTGTCCATACCATTTCCCGTGTATGATTGGTCTAAACAAAACCAAAGCAAACTGATATGGCCGACAGAGGATTGGGACCATACTTTTTCTTTTTAGCTTTTTCGTTAGAACGGCAACGCCAAGGAGGACGTCGATTTAAAAATGAATAGATATTTTCAGTTGGAATTTCACGTATGAGAGCAGCGTTGAGTTCCAAGTGGAAACTTAACAAATTTGCCGTCGGGGTTTCTTTTCTGAGTGGAAGGTAGCGACCGACCAATATTTTACTTTCATCTCATCTGCAATTTCCACATAAATGTTAAAGGACATGTTTTGTATTAGAAGTAGTTTTGATAGAATTTCAGGGAACACTCTTCGACCAGCTTAAACCAACAGTTGTTTAATTTGTTTGCTTTATTTGAAGGGTGACTTTCTTCACACATAGGAAGCCTTGTTCACGATGACTTGTACACAAAAATTAATCGCTTTAGGTTGGAATAATTTTTTTGATATGAGTGTTCCCGGACTCGATAAAGCACTCTTTTAAATACCAAGCTGACCCGTTTGAGATGAATTTCTTCACAGTCCTGGTCGATATTATTTTAAATTGAACCGAAAGCTCATTTTTTAATGAGCTTTGTCTTACTTGACAGTCCTATGTCATTACGTCGACAGACTGTTCTCAAGAATGAGATATTATTAGCCATGAGCTGAAATTGAAAACAAAAAGATCCTTAGGAATACTGCGAAAGTAGATAGCTGGAAGAAGCCATGACACTATGACGGCCTAAGACAACAAGTCACAACAACAACAGCTGTGCACTCGGACTAAACCAACGTCGATTAGATCGTACATACCTAAATTTTTCATGATAGTAATTGCATGTGTCCTCAACCGCCCCACACAAGTCATCGCAGCTCGACTTTAAATTGTGATTACTCCCACAAATTTCAACCGACGCCATTCAAACTGCTCTTGACGTGAAGCTCTTTCTGTGCTTTTTCAAGTGAACTGGGCACCAAGGGTCATAAATATCAGAGACAAAAATGCGGTATTAAAATGTGGGGCTAGCCTAAGTTTTAAAAATTTGAACCATAACGCCATGTTTCATAACGTCATGGTATAAATAACACTGTCCATGGCCCGGCCGGACTGGTGACTTACAGCTGTTATTTGTTACTTAGTTTGCCGTCGTCGAACAACTTTGGGAAAGCACTGCGCCATTCCCTTCCAGTACAATGGCGTGACGTACAATTGCTGCAGCAGTGTTAATCACCACAGATTGTGGTGTTCGCTGGATCCGATATATGCCTCTAGATGGGAAAACTGCTAAGGTTAACTTATCAAATGTACGTCACTTAACATAAGGCTATATATATATATATATATATATATATATATATATATATATATATATATATATATATATATATATATACATATATATATATACATATATTTATATCTTGAGTCATTTTTCCGTCAAAAGTTTCCTTTCAACAGGAAACAATCTTAAACAAAGATGCGTAGGATTCGCACGGAGTGCACAGGTAATCAAATTCTGGCCAAGTTTTTACAGTGCACAATGCATACCACATTGCTTTTAAAATTTGATCATTTATCTAGACTATTTTAAATTTTCTTCAGTTAGATGGCTCTTGAAATCTTGATTAAGGGCTGTAGATGACAGACGAATTCACTATCATGATATAGATAAGATAATCTACCTGATTTGGATCCCAATACCAGCTTAAAGTAAATTGAAATCGAGTGCTGTATCAACTTTCTGCAACAGTTCTTTTTGTTGTAGCGTCAAGCAACTTATAGTAGGTGTATCCATTTGGATGGGGTGCTGGTCCATCGTAAGCGGCCCCGTATTGTTTTAGGTCTGCTGATACCCACTTCAAAATCCTGGATGGAGAGGGACACCGCAAGTGTGAACTATTTTACTCTAGAACACAACGTAATAACCCAAACAGGAGTTAGACCAGCACCTTCCGAGTCCAGTTCGTTAATCATGGGGCCACCATCTTCCCACACTAATATAATTGTTACTTTATTGTCATTAAAAGTTGAAAATCAGATTTTTGCAAGTGTGAACTATTTTACTCTAGAACACAATGTACTAACCCAAACAGGAGTTAGACCAGCACCTTCCGAGTCCAGTTCGTTAATCATGGGGCCACCATCTTCTCACACTAATATAATTGCTACTTTATTGTCATTAAAATTTTGCCCACGATTTTCCCTATCTCGCTTAGTAGCAAACTATGTTGAAATATTTCGCCCTGAAGACATTTATTTCTAAATGTGTGCGAACAATTTTCACAATAGAATATACCAACGAAATATCTCAAGTTGCCAACACTACTAAGAGTCATCCATATAGCCGGCGAAGATGTGAATGTTGTGATACAAAATTATTGAAAAGAAATCTCAATCTATGAGGCCCCAGTGAAATTGAAAGGCGTCAAAGCGTCTCTACCGTCGCGGAGTTCAACTCGGTTAACTTTGCAACCATGCCGCTGGTTGAAATAAATCTTTCTAATTTAATGGGAAATAAGAACCTCATCGATCCACGTGGGTTCTGTTATACGTAGCTTGATGGTTTCATTGATTTCACGGTATAGAGTAATGCGATGTTATCGTCAAAGTCGCGAGTTCGAATTCCACAAAATCCCTGGATAGATTATTCTGAATACGTTGCACAGTCATATCAGTGTGTGACATGACTCCGTTAAGTCTTTACACCCTACATCAGTCTACAAGTTCTCCATAATGTTCTCTATACATATCCTATGGTACTGATAAGGAAGATTCGTTTAGTGATCACAGCTTCATACCGGTGGACGATCATTTCCTTTATTCTCATGATCTTAATGAATGATTCGGAGTAGTGTTACTGTAAGGAGATATCAGATTCTGGTCCCTGTAATAGTTTAAGGGATTAACACACATATATAATCAATGAAATGGGAATTTATGAAGCAAAAGTCTTCTCTCCTTCTGTCTATCTTCGTTTGAAGACTCTTCCTTCCATTTTTCCAGTATTGTTGATGATAAGTTACCAAAAAATAGATAGAGTTTACAGAATAGAATGAGGAAAGCAAAGCAAGACTGAATAGGTGTCACCTAGCATCAAAAATAGTTCGCGGTTGCCAATCACCCTAAAGAAGTTCTTTTTCACTTTCTTTAATTTCAATTCGAGAGACTGAGTGAAAATGTTCTTTACCAGGTCCTTGTCTGATACAAGAAAACCATTTTTCTTGTGTGCGGCTCTGAAATGCTGGAAAGCCGCTGGTCAACATTTAAAAGATAAACTCTTAGCTAGATATGAATTCCCGTACCAATGCGGTGGAGGGAGCGAACTTAGGTGAGGGTCGAACTAATTAATTCGGAAAACCTCAACCGTTTACCAGCACAGCATGCTTCTACGTTATGCTGTTTACTGATGAGCAGCCTCGCGTAACATAAACATTTAAGTTAAAATTACTGAAAAGATACGCGGCGTTGTTGTGGGAAGAAACTGTTATAAATGTCATGCTTGGGTAGCGAAACATAGGTTCAGAGCGATGAGGAGTCGAAACTCTCACTTTCCCTGGGTAGTTGGAGGCTTGTTGTGTGTCTTCCAATACTACACTATCTGGCGTCGAGAACAAAAGTGATTCATCAAAACAAAGACAAAGAGGGAGATGGAGATCACCACGCTTTTGATATCAAATACGTTGAATTTTTCTCTGTAAGGTAAGAACGTATCATGTTGTAACAAAAGAATAGAGATAGAAACCCCGCGTTAGAACACATCACATTCAAATTGGTCTGTATTCATTCATAGGTTATCTTAGTTCTAATATTTGATTTAATTATTCGAAATAAGCATCTATTTTCGAAAACATACTCAAACGAGTGGCAAGCGACCCTTTTATGATAAACGGGAAACGTAAAGTAAACGTTTTTGCCCACCACTGAGTTGAAACAAATATTCAGAGCTGTGCTGACTTAAAACTGAAAGGGAGAATATTATGATTGATACTTAACAGGTAAAGAAGCCTTGACTGTGCTCTGTTCTGTTATAAATCTCACAGGAAGCAGCCAGAGCACGACTGAAGGGTAGGGGGAAACACGAGACGTGATCTAGTGTTTCTCCTTACTTCTTGACCAATTCTTCCGCGATCACCGGAGGCCACCATTTGTTTGGTTCATCTGTTGCTCATTTCCGGCTCGCTTGTACCGAAATTTCACTTTTAATTAACAACAAAAAAGCTAGAGAGAGGTTCAAGAAATGGTCGGACATTGTACAAATTGGCAGATGGTGTGACAGCTTTAAGACGCTCTTTCAATCAATGACAACGCACGTTATATCCGAACTTTATTAGTCGGGCGACCGACTATAGGTTTACCCTCGGGTTTCTCCACAAAGTTCAGTCACGTGCAATGGGGAATACCACAGACACGTAATAGAGGCGCAACCTTCTTTCCACCATGTCGAACATGGCGGATTTGTCGAATATCTTAGCGAATGGTGTCATCTTTTCTACGCTCAAGCATACAGACCCACACACCGTTCGCGGTAGACCCACTCTAAAAGATGGCATGTGTAATGAGCGTATATTTCCAAACAGGTTGTTCCGCGAACTCAAATTAGCAAAAGAATCAAATGATTTAGCGAAAGTCTCACAAGAATCTATAAAAGCGGGAATCTTTAAAACGGGGAATCTTTAAAAGCGGGAATCTTTAAAAAGGAAAATCTTTAAAAGCGGGAATCTTTAAAACGGGGAATCTCTAAAAACGGGAATCTTCAAAATGAGGAATCTTTGAAAGT